TCATACCCTTGTTTATAGTCATTACATTGTTTTGATAATGAAAATCCAATGAACAGTAAAATTAAAATGTTCATATTTAATGAATATATCTTTCTAAGTTCATGTTTAAATATTCATTTGTCTTTATTTCCATTAGTTCCATTAATTCATAAAACGTCATCACTAAATGTTTGTGATTCAATAAAAATTACAATTATATTACAAACTTCAACTTATTATTCTTTTGTTTTGTTTTCTTTTCTCATGTTATTTGTTTTGTTGAATTTCTTCTCTTTATATTAACATTATGTTTATTCTTTTTTTAGCGTTTTATATTCAAAATTGAAATAAACATCATTCAATTTTAGTATTATCATATTATTAAAAAATAAATTCTTATTTACATAATTGTTTGTTAACTAAAGAGGATTTAAAAATAATTATATAAATAACATTACAATCAATATTACACATATTTTATTCAATTTGATGTACTAAATATATATTGTTGATATACCATTGAAAGTCTATAAAATATTTTTAAATTTAGAATTAAAAAATGTATTTATTTAAATTAAATGTATAATAAATTGTATTTATACATATTCAAATTAATTCTTCATTGAGAATAAATGTGATAATTTAGTATATCCTCATTTATCTACTTCATAACTGAATGATGTTTAACATTTATTATCAAATTTCGTATGAAACAAAAAAAAATTGATGAAATTAAATAAGTGAATTAAATTATAAGGGGATTAAAATAAGCAAAGAAAAAAATGCATCTAAATATTTTACAAAAATGAAAAAAGATGCAAAAAAATTTGCATCAATAGAACATTCCATTTATTATATTTTGCTCCTAAAATAAAAATAAAAAGTATGATAAATATACAATCTGTATATATTTATGTTTATATTTTATGATCAGTTGTATTCATTTTGTATGAAATATTAATGAAATAGATGATTTGATTATTCATATTTATTTTTATTATTTATATTCTTTTATTTATATGTTATTTATCTATCGTATTTTTATATATTTATTTCTCTGTTTATATTATTTATATCATTGTGTTATTCTTATTATCTATATATTATTATATTATTCTTATTTGATTATTTTTATGTTTATATTATTTAGATTTTCTTATAGTTATTCTTTTATATTTAGATGTATTTGTTTATTCATCTTTATCGTTTTTATATTATTATCATTTATATCTATTTTCATTTT